ATATTAACTTCAAAGTTCAATTGAAGAAACTTGTATAAGTATGGGGGAACAACGCATTGAACTTGTTGCCGAAGCAATTTTAGAAGTCAAACTTTGTCTATATGTGCCCGAATTTCCATGTATTTATAACGTGCGCACGCCAGATTTCAAAAACAGAGATCTACGAGAAAAGGCTTTTGAAGAAATTGCGGAAAAGTTGGGACAATCCGGTAAGTCTTTACACAAATTAAATCATGCATCAACATTTTATGCTTGTGCATCATTTGTAATAATTTCGTGTATCTCTTTACTTATTAAAGTGACCTGGGTCAAAGCAAAAATTAAATGAACAAGCTACACAAGAAGCAAAAAGCAGGTGTCAAATGGCAGTTCTCGAAAAAACCCCTGCACCAAACGGGCAAGCTGACTTGCTGAAAAGTTACAATTTCTTGAGCCTTTCGTTGCAATTGGAACACTGATCTCGATCATGGATTATGTAAATATTTTTTTTAAAGATAACATTTCAAGAAGAGATTCATGAAGAACTTCGCGATATTTGCGACAAACTTGAGATTGGTAATCGTGTTGAGACGATGGCTAAGCGTGATGCATTTATTACTGTAAAAGATCATAAAGACAATTTTCCAGCTAATGTAAAATGCCGTTTAATCAATCCAGCCAAAAGTGATCTTGGAAAAGTTAGTAAAATTATTCTGGACAATATAAACAATGAAATAAGACTGATCTATTACGAAAGTTAATCAATGCAAAAATACGAAGTCGGTAACAGATTGGTTCAAAAGCATTGAAGGAAAGTCCAAGTATACATTTCTTTCCTTTGATATCGTTGACTTTTATCCATCTATCAAGGAAGATCTTCTGGATGCTACATTTCAATGGGCACGTACGATGATCGATATTAGCGATGATGAAATCAATATAATCAAGCACGCACGTAAATCGCTTTTGTTTAGTGACAATAAACTATGGACTAAATCAAATAGTGAATCGTTGTTTGATGTAGCAATGGGTAGTTACGATGGAGCGGAGATATGCGAATTGGTTGGTCTATATATACTGAATAAGATCTCGGCGATTTTTGGCAAGAATCATGTGGGTTTGTATCGTGATGATGGCTTGGCTTTGGTGAAAGGAAATTCAACTCGGAACGCTGATATGGCAAGGAAATCGTTAAACGAAACATTCCATCAGTTTGGACTAAAGATAACATGTGAAGTAAGTCATCATCTTGCAAATTTCTTAGATGTTACTCTAGACTTGAATTCCAATCGATTCGTGCCATACAGAAACCCCTCAACACCACGCAATATGTAGACAGTCGTTCCGTAGACACCCTCCCTCGATAATAAAGCATATACCGAAATCAATAAACACGCGTATATCATCCCTTTCATCCGACCAAAAGGCGTATGACCAGTCAAAACCTTTTTACGAAGAAACCTTGAAGAAAAGCAACTTTAAGGAAACCTTACACTATAACCCCCGAGATCTAAACGCATCTGCAACACCGAAACAAAAGAGACATAGAAACGTTATATGGTTCAATCCCCCATACAGTAAATCAGTTAAGACAAACGTTGGAGGAAGATTTCTGCAACTTATTGACAATCATTTTCCTCCCACAAATCCACTTCACAAAATATTCAACAGAAACACGATCAAAGTTAGTTACAGTTGTATGCCAAATGTTAAGAATGTTATTTCACGGAACAATCGGAAAATCTTAGGAAGAAGCGAAGCTACAAAACCTGAAACACCATGTATAATCTGAATAATCCCAATTTTTGATCTTGTTAAATTTAGGAAGCTTCTCTCACTAATTAACATTCTCACAAATCCCAGTGCTCCATCTTCATTTTAGCAAATGTTTAAATTCTTATCTTCTATTCGACAACGGGCTCTGACTAGAGCTTGCGCATATGACCTTCAACCCCCCTTCCCGCGTACTGACTCTGGTAAACAAACATTTCTGTACAGTGCTTCCATTCTTTTTAATTGCTTAGATAGTGATTGTAAGCAACTTGCTGCTTCGCCATCTTGCTCTTCATATACTAACGCCAAACAAAAAATTCGTAAAATCTTTCTTAACAAGCTTACCCTTACTAACCATATCGAAGATCTATTTAGTACAAATTGTAAATATTTACTAAATTGTAATTGTATTCATTACTAATTATTTTTTTCTCAAATGTAAATAGTCGTAATCCTTAATACTTTTTATGCCTGTAAATATCAAAATAGTGCGAGGGCCGTATGTTAGATAACTTTTACGGTTAATACGTTTTCCCTCGTGAAATAAAGTTTCTATTCTATTCTATTCTATTCTATGTAACTGTATAAATCAGGATGAATGTCCCCTGGATAACAAATGCCTGCAGGCTGAGAGTATCGTATACAAAGCAGTTGTAACATCCCTGGATGACGTTTTGAAGAAGGAATATATAGGCATGACAGCAAATTCATTTAAAGAAAGATACCGCAACCATAAGAAATCTTTTAATCTTATTCGGTATGAGAAAGAAACTGAACTGTCGAAGTATATATGGGAACTTAAATTTAAAGGGAAGGCTTTTGCCATCAATTGGTCCATTCTGAAACATTCAACACCCTACGCGTCCGGTAGCACGCGATGTAATCTGTGTAACGAGGAGAAACTATCCATTATGAAAGCAGACCAGAAAACGTTACTTAATAAACGATCGAAAATCTTCGGAAAATGTCGCCATAAAGATCATTCGGTTCCAAGCTGGAAGTTTTCATCGCAAGCGCGTGCGTCAACGAAAATCACGAAATCAAACAAACTAATTAAACGGACATAAATCGCCTGAAGATCGATCAGACAAGATCGTGAAACTCAGAGTAGCGAAAAAACATTGTTATTTTAAGATATTTGTAACGTTAATTACATAGCTCTACTGTACTGTTTATAGTATTGAGCACTCTTTTCAGTCTTTCAACGAAAAACAACCGTTATATATATATGTATATATATATATATATATATATATATATATATATATATATATATATATATATATATATATATATATATATATATATATATATATATATATAAGCGTAATAGAAAACGGCCTTTTCGTAATTAATCCAATATTCTCGCTCCAGACGTCGACTCTGGTGTCCTGTGGTTTGAAATAAATTATGTACATTCTCATTGACATGCCAGGGTGCTTGCCTAATTGACTATTAATGATGTACTAAGTAAACTTACCTCAAAGAAATTCCACCAAGTAAACTAGTTATTCTTGCCCCTAACTTAAGTTCAATCAGTCCTCCACACATCAGCGCTATATGCATTGAAACTTGTATACAACTCATAATCCACATACTGTCAGAGTATCTCAAAGTCGAACTGGACGATCGAAATCTAAGGTATGATGTGATATATGGGCTGATATTACCTACAAACACAAATAGAAATATACGTGAGTAATATTATATATGAGTGCACATTTTGTCTCGAGTCGAAGGCGAGTAGTTGTGAAAAAATGGACAGAATTAAAAGTCTACGTAAATCAGCGGGATTTTCTTTAATTTAACAAATTTTATTTGGATCGATATTCACAATTTTTAACAAACAAAAGAATATAACAGTACAAATATTACATTAAGTTAAAATAACCTAGATATCAAATGTAGATAAAAAAGGTAAGGTACGAACGGGACTCTTATAAAAGGTCCCATGCAGGGCACCCACCTCCAAAATAGTAATCATGATAACAAATAGAACATCGCGAACTCAAACTCGCTAAAAGATTCAGGCAAGCAAAAAATTAAATGGAATAGTTAAACTCGAAATTCAAAATAGTCACCGCTTCAGAGAGTTTGAGTAAACGTGGCTCTATTTCCTGAAACTGGGCGTGTCAAGTAAACTAAGAGACAGATTGAACATGCATGTAAAGCTAAAGGCCAGCTTCCACACAGGAATTTCCTCCGCTGAACAGAAACTGCGGGAGAGCTTTCATTGTGTTAAATTCACGACGTCCACGTCATTCGTGTTGATTAAATTCATTTAGTTCGAAACCAGAGGTTCCAAACGAAATCTCGCAAAACAAACTGAAAACTTTCAGGTATTCTCGGTATTTGTATTTTAAATATATAAGAGTTTGGAATTTATTAAACGTTTAGAGTAAACAAAACTGTGGTTTTGTGTGGTTCGTAACTCAGACGATTGTGCTGCCCTTCAACAAGATTTACATTCAGTGTCCATATGGTCTCAAGATTGTGGACTTTCATTTAACAAGAACAAATGCGAATTATTAAGAATATCCAGAAAACGAAGCAGTATGCTGGACCAATGACCTCCCACTCGCTGTGGTTCCCTCATCAAAAGACCTTAGGGGGTCTTAGTTAATAAATCTAAGTTATGTCTTATTAATGGTCATGATGTACAGGGTGTATAAAAAAAGTGACCTTTAAAGAAATCACCCTTTTGTTGTAAACACCCAAACTTCATTGCTTACCTCTGGGAATTTAGAATGCAATGTAGTCGTACGAGCGTATTAAAACTGCATAAATTGTACATGGAAATTCTAATTGAAAGTTAAAACGACTTAGAAATTAGTCCCGTGAAATCAATTAAAAATGGTTCAACTGACTACAGAACAAGAATATATTTAATTAAATTCCCAGGTGTATAACAACGCGCTTTTTACAATAAAAGGGTCAACGTCGTATACCCAGGTTGCAAAAGAGTGATTTCTTAAGGATCACGTTTTTGAGACACCCTGAAAATGGACTTATTTAACTATACGTATAGATTACACCATCAGGAGCCGGCGCACACTGGAGCTATCAGCTGAGCTTAGCGGCGTCACTCGCAGGGCCGTACCTAGACGGGGGGGTGGGGGTTGAATTTCGATATATTCGTGTTCTGCCCAACGGATTTTTTTTGAAAGCGATTGTAGTGATTGACAGTTATACATAATTTATAGAATAAATTATAATACGCGGAAAAATAGGAACACAATTGTAATTAGGGCGCGAAGGAGAAACATTGAGTTTGTATTTAGTAAGTAAGTAAAGGAAAATATATAACTATAAAGATTGTTTGATTACTACATTGGCGACGAGGATAAATTATGGCAATGAATGGCTTACAGCCAATGCCTTTGTTCGAACCGAAAGCTGATCCAACGAATACAAGCGCTCGATGGACACAGTGGATTCAACGTTTTAACACATATTTAGTCGCTTCAAATGTGAAGGACAATGCACGTAAAAGAGCACTATTATTGTATCAAGCCGGACCTGAAGTTCACGAGATATTCAAAACATTGCCTGACACAGAAGACGAGAAAAATTACGAAGCTGCTGTCAATGCCCTCACTGCATATTTTGAACCAGAAAAAAATCGAATCTATCAAACATATATGTTTAGACAAGCATCTCAACAAGATAATGAAACCATCGACGAATTTCACACACGCTTGAGACGATTAGCAAAACATTGTGAGTTCGTGGATGTTGAATTCGAAATCAAAATGCAAATTGTGTGCAACGGTACATCCTCGAGACTGCGTAAGAAAGCTTTAAAAGAAAGCAATTATTCACTCAAAGATATGTTGATCGATGGTCGAAAATCAGAAACTTGCAGTGCACAAGCCAGTGGCATGGAAGAAAAATTTAAGGATGTACAACTTAATCAAGTTGAGAGGAAACCTGCTCAATCTAAGTGCTATAACTGTGGATTTGCTTACCCTCATTTGGATCGTCCTTGTCCGGCCGCAAATTCAACTTGTAACTCGTGTGGCATACTTGGTCATTTCTCTAGAGTGTGTCGAAAGAAAGAATCGCGTCGTTTTTCCAAGCCACAAATAGCACAAGAATCGCCTCGACAACGAGAACAACCAAAAGAGCCGTTTAAATCCGAATCCACGAGAAACAAGCGAAGAAATCGTGTACGGGCTGTCAACAAACATCTCGATTCGTCGACGGAGACTAGTTCTGAGGAAGATTATGTTTATACTGTGGAAAACAAAAGCGACCCAAAGACGACAGCAAAAATACGAGTTAATTCTGTTGAAATCAATTTCATTGTTGACACGGGAGCGACAGTTGACGTTATCGACTCCAAAACCTATGATCGCCTCAAATCCAGCGTCAAATTATGCAAAAGTACGACCAAGATATTCGCTTATAGTTCAACCAAACCACTACCTCTTAAAGGTGAATTTCAGGCAACGGTAGAATCGAACAAACGTTATACTGTTTCTGTTATTCACGTTGTCGAAGGCTGCTCTGGAAATCTACTTAGTGCACGGGCAATAGGACAGGTGTAGTGTTGTTAAATAGAAAGTTAGAAATGGTATTGTACTTACTCATGTATTATAATTATGTTTAAAAGATCAGAATATTCATAACTTCTTATTTTGTTTCATAAATAGTTCTTTAATATTCGAAACAAATTCCATATCTGCTTCGTCTGCCATCGCCATGTTTACTCGTCCCAATCTACATGCTGCATGGCATTGCCGCCCCTCCTGGCAAAATAATAAGCAAGCGAGAAAAGTTAAGGAGAAATAAGAGGGTAGGAACATTGTGGGCGTTTCGTGGGTGTGTCATTGTTCTGGGCGAATCGGCTTTCGCAATCTTGTATCACATGACTAATTCAAATCGTCATAGGCGGGAAGCAGCATTACGTCATCCCTACGCCAAATAAAACGTTATAAAACGCGTCGAGGATACGTTTGTGCCATATATGGAAGTTATGGATATGTTTGTGCCATATATGGAAGTGTCACTGCATCCAGCTTATAACAACGATGTTCCTACCCTCTTATTTCTCCTTAACTTTTCTCGCTTGCTTATTATTTTGCCAGGAGGGGCGGCAATGCCGTGCAGCATGTAGATTGGGACGAGTAAACATGGCGATGGCAGACGAAGCAGATATGGAATTTGTTTCGAATATTAAAGAACTATTTATGAAACAAAATAAGAAGTTATGAATATTCTGATCTTTTAAACATAATTATAATGCATGAGTAAGTATAATACCATTTCTAACTTTCTATTTAACAACACTACACCTGTCCTATTGCCCGTCCTTAGTGCGAAAACCGCTCAAGATTTGGCATTAATTCAATTAGTAAACAAGGTCACGGAACTTGAAACGCCGCCGAAACCGGAACTTTCTAAACCGGAAACTCAGCCCATACTGCCCGGAAACACGGAGAACACGGATAAACAGCAGCCAATGCCTCATGCATCGACGCCAAAATGCGAAGACCAAGAGATCCAGAAGATTATTGATAAATACGCAACTGTTTTCGTTGGTGAAGGGAAATTGAACACTCAACAAGTCGGGTTACATATTAATGAAAATATTAAACCAGTGGTTCAACCGCAGCGTCGTATACCATACCATATACGCAATGACGTATCAAAGGCGTTGCAGAAATTGGTTGTGGAAGATATGATCGAAAAAGTCTGTGACCAACCTACCCCGTGGATTTCGCCAATTGTGTGTACCCCAAAGAAAGACGGTGGAACACGAATCTGTGTTGACATGAGAGCAGCCAACCAAGCGATTAAGCGAGAAAGACACATTATGCCAACGCTTTCTGATTTCCGTGCGGAAATGAATGGATCAAAATATTTTTTAAAATTGATCTCAAACAGGCGTACCATCAACTGGAATTGAAAGAAGAAAGTCGGTACATAACTACATTCTCGACGCACGAAGGCCTATTTCGCTACAAACGACTGAACTACGGAACGAACAGTGCGCCAGAACTTTTTCAGAACATTTTGCAACAAAATCTTAGTGACATTCGTGGAGTAAAGAATATTGCAGATGACATCATTGTTCACGGGAAAACGCGAAAGCAACATGACGAATCATTAGAGAACTGTTTGAAACGACTAGCTCAACTCAACTTAAAAGCGAAACCCGAGAAGTGTAGTTTCCTGCGCAAAGAGATTAATTTCTACGGTTTAATTTTTACGGCAAATGGAACAAGATCAGATCCAGCAAGAATTGACAACTTAGTCAGAGTCAGCGCTCCAAAGAATGCCAGTGAAGTACGTAGTTTCTTGGGTTTGGCGAACACGTGTCGTGAGTATGTTCCAGAGTAAGCCGTAATTACTACACCATTGCGGGATCTCACAAAGGAAAGTGTTGCTTTCACTTGGAACCACACCCACCAAAGAGCCTTTGAGCAGATTAAAAAGAAACTGACACATGCCCCTACCATGGCATATTTTGATACCGAGAAGAGAAGCTTGCTTATTGTTGATGGATCCCCTCTCGGAATTTGTGCTATTTTAGCCCAACGTGAGAAGTCAGGAGAGTCGTATCGCATTATCTCCTACGCCAGCAGAGCCCTGTCTCCAGTCGAAAGTTGATATTCACAGACTGACATCGAAGGGTTGAGCCTAGTGTGGGGGATAGAACATTTCCGACTGTTTCTCCTGGGTACTAAATTCGATGTTTATACTGACCACAAAGCTCTGGAAGCAATCTTCAATAATCCAAGATCAAAACCCCCAGCTCGTATTGAACGCTGGATGCTACGACTGCAACCGTATAACTTCCGTGTGATTTACAAGAAAGGAACAGTTAATGAAGCCGATTACCTGAGCCGTCATCCTACCACCGCTCAACGAAAAACTACAATCGAAGAAAAGATTGCAGATAATTATGTGAACTATATCATTAACAATGCTGTACCGAAGTCAATGACACTTCAAGAAATCAAGGAAGCCACCTTGTCGGACACCATTCTAAAGAAAGTTTTAGAATGCTTGAAATCGGGAAAATGGGAGGAGAAAGATGTGGAACTGAAAGCTTATCAAATGTGCGCGGAAGAACTAACAGCAACGAAAGCAGGAGACCTTCTTCTCAAGGGTAGCAGAATTGTTATACCAAAAGCGCTACAAGACCGTGCGACGCAACTCGGACATGTCGGACACCAAGGAATAGAAAAGACTAAGGCGTTATTGAGAGAAAAAATATGGTATCCTGGAATGGATAGTAAAGTAAAGATCCTCGTTGAAAACTGTGTTGCCTGTCAAGCTGTTGGTCCAAGTAATCCTCCTGAACCTATGAGAATCACTCCTACAGCGACGGAGCCATGGCAAAGCTTAGCAATCGATTTTTATGGTCCTATACCACACAGTGGACAATACTTACTTGTCGTGACTGACACATACTCTAAGTTTCCAGAAGTAGAAATTGTTACGTCAACTTCAGCGAAAGCCTGCATCCCGAAGTTAGACTGCATATTTGCAACTCATGGTATCCCGAAAAAGATTAAAACTGATAATGGACCACCTTTTAATGGGAATGATTTTAAAAGATACATGGCTGCCTTAGGAATTGAGTGGAAAACAAGCACTCCGTTGTGGCCCCAAGGCAATGGAAATGCCGAAAGTGTGATGAAACCGTTAGGAAAAGTGATAAAAACTTCCATGTTAGAGGGAAAGAATTGGAGACAAGAACTTCAAAGATTTCTATTAAATTACCGCTCAACACCGCATGCCACTACAAAGATACCTCCATGTGAACTACTATTTAATCGAAAGGTGCAAGGAAGTCTACCCGAGCTGTCAACACAAAATGTCGTAAACAAGCACCAAAAGGCCAAGGAAAACATTGACAAGAAGAAGATTAGTAATAAGCAGTACTACGATGCCAAGAAAAACACCAAGACATCCAAGATCAAGAAAGGGGACATTGTTATTTGTAAACAGAAACCAAACAACAAGTTATCTCCAAGATTCAATCCCGAGCGATTTACGATCGTGGAGAGGAAAGGCGCAACAGCTATGGCACGAAATGGCAGACGCACCATCACGCGTAATGTAACTCATTTCAAAGTAGTTAAACCTGTAGACGAACAAAGTAGTGATGAAGAGAAGTCAACTACCGTGGAAGATGTACAGGACAACAGGGTCGGAGATGATATGCAGGACTTTATAGAAGAAAGTCACCCGATAGCAAGAAGATCAACGAGAAATCAAAGACCTGTAAATAGATTTGGTCACTCAATACCATCGGGACTTATTTCATAGAACTTTAGTATGATATGAACAATAACGAACAAATCATAGTTATTCCGTTGAGTTTTGTTAAAAAAAAAAGAAGAGAACAATGTAGTGATTGACAGTTATACATAATTTATAGAATAAATTATAATACGCGGGAAAAGGGAGACAGGTAATTAGGGCGCGAAGGAAAAACATTGAGTTTGCATTTAGTCAGTAAGTAAAGGAAAATATATAACTATAAAGATTGTTTGATTACTGCAGCATCAAAGACAAAGATCAGTCCCAAAGTATACAATATGCTCTGTAAACTTACGACGAAGTGGAAAAATGCGTGCATGAGATGTTTATTTGGTGATTTCAACGTATATGGAAGCCCTCTCTCCAATAATATTTGCTTATCGCACAGTATGACACCAACTGATGTTATGGTTCAAATGCAATTATAAGTTATAAGTTACATCTCAGAAACTGTGTTCGAAATTTAAATGCTAATCCGTTACAAATAGATTACCGTTTTACATCGTTGTATAAAACATTTTGATCGCATGTAAGCAATTATTTCTCAGCCCAGAGACATGGCACAAAGACTTAATATTAACGTCCTTGTAATTTTATAAGAACTAAGGATATTAGAGTGAATTATCTTTACCTTCTCAAAGTTATAGAGAAGATATGTTGTTTACGTCCAACACGCATAAGATTGCATAACTCAAAATGATTCGAGCAAAACCGGTCTTTTCTTAAAAGGAAGAATGGTTAATAGAAATTGGTCCTTTTGAGTGACAAAATCGTGTATCGTCATCGATTCGTGTCGTTGAACAATGAAAAAATTTTCTGTTAAATTACTGAAGATAAAATAGTTTGTGAGAAAACTGCGTGCCTAGGGAGTGGGAACTTTCGGATTTGAACTCAGCGTGTTCGAAAGCAGGCGCGGATCCAGTGGTTTTGTTGACTGATGCACTAAACCTCGCATTTGTAGGGGTGTCCGGGGATCTAGGACCTCGGAAATGCGATTTCCTGCGTTCTGAGGGAGCTTTCTTCGAAGTTCGCACATCAAAATTGAAACGTAATTTGCTGGATTTTCGGGGAAAAAACGTAAAAAATCGGCCTTATAGAGTGAGAACAACATAATCATGTGAGTTTTAAAATAAATTGAAAACATTTTTACTCGGAGTTTTATCATATCGAAACTTGACTAGCATTTGATCCTATTTGAGTGAGGATTATAGAGTAGCAAAGTTATAGCTATAATTTACAATTTTACATACAAGTGTACACTACTTACATGTACACAACATACTGATAGAATAATTGAAAGCAAAACCACAGACCTTTTTTCTGTGTAAAATATGGTGCAAATGACATGAAAAGTTGATCAGGGTTGTGTTTCTTATGCAAAATAGATAAGAATACTTCAAGCAAACTATTATATTCATTGCCAATGATATCACTTCCTGTAACTTATCACTTCCCGTTACCAGTTAACACCAATCAATATAACAATGTTCCAGGTCAAATGCCTTCCAGCAGCACCACCATCACATAAATTCCGGTTAAATAATTTTAATAATCCAGGATTAATTCCAGGGCAACTTTGAGTTACTGTATATGAAGGCCTTCTCTGGAGCTAGTCAGTATAATATTTATGGATGCATTTATATCCAACATTTGACAAAATAATGCAGTTTGAATTTTTAAATACTGTAAGATTATCAAAGTATTCAAGGGTGTTAGGTAATAGTTTTCATTGTTGCTGAGCAGTTAATAGTAAAAATAAACAATTATTGAAACTATTTGCAGAAAATAGATTATTCTACTGTATTTGAAGTCTGGATTTCTACACTACATTGACCAATATAACTCCACAGATTTTGCATTGAATCCCAAATTACAGTACATTCAGGAGAGTGTCTAGGACTACTGTATGTATCCAAACTGCTGTTCCAAGATATTAAGGATAGACAGGGAGAAGTGCAGTTATGGACTTGGTACCTGTATCTGATTGCATGAGCAGGATTGACAAGCTTCAGTAACAGTGGCAGTGCAGTATATTGTGATCAACTCAATTAGTACATTGACCTCTCAATGAAAGTGAGATAATTTATCAATTTATACATTAATGTATTCTATGCAATGACCCTTTGTTGTTTTGAAAATAAATGATAGAATGATCAGAACAGTAATTTGGTCCCATAACTGCTAATTAGACTGGTACATTTAAAATGAACACCTTGTGCTGAGCCATGGTCATGAGAATGGTATAATTTAAAGGCATATGAACAATGTCAGGAAAAGCATCACAAATTTAAGGGGCCGAACTTGAGAGAGCCCAGCTAAATTTATTCCCTTCCTAAACATGTGAATCCCCTTTATTTTCAGCATCACAATAATTTGCCGGTCACCCCCTGTGCCTCTCCCCTCACCTTGGCAGGGGCAACCCTGATACATGTAATGCCATTTAGTGTGATTGATGGCTTCTGGTACTAGGTGATCATTCTGAAACAATATAGATAATTTATAACTGAACTAATCTCACTATCACCAACATTGCCCATTAAAATATTGGTTTGAAGCTTCAAGAGCTTCCCAATTTCAAAATGATGCACATACAGGGATGGATTTGGATATGGGAGGGATCTAATTAGGTGCCGGTATTGATGTCGGGTGTGAGCATCAACCAAGGCATGGTGTGTAATCATACAGATAGCAGTGTTTGGGGGAAACAGCACCTAACAAGTAACCGGCCAAGTAACCGGCAAGTGCCAGGAATATAGCTTTTAGTAAGGGTTGCAGGATCCTAGGCAGAGTCCCTTAGACTGTAGGAATCTCAGGGAGAACTTCAAAATATTATCAAGCATCTAGATTCAATTTGCATTTTCAAACAAATTAAGACACAACCTCCCC